CAAGCATGTTTAGTGTGAGGGGGATTCGAACCCGCGACCCTCAGATTGCGAATCGAGCGCCCTAACCACCTGGCCATGCCGGGCCTAGTTTTAATTAAGAAAGGACTTGTATCGCTGAAGTTCCTCGGAAAGAATTTATACCGGAAATTAAGGAAATTATCAAACGTGGAGATACGTAACAATATACATAGGAAAATGAAAAACGTCTACAGTAGCACGAGTTTCATATAAAACACGGTAACATAACGTCTACAGCAACACGAGTTTCATATAAAACATGGTAATATAACGTCCATTGCTGAAGACGAACACTTCTGGAACTCTGCTGGTAATTATGACTGAAATAATGTAAATATATTAAGATACGCACAAACTAATATAGAAAGAAACTTGAGAGAAAGTATTTGTATAAAACAGACCCCTACGTATAATTAGAGATGATGAACCTACTGGAAGACCTGTTTACCTTAAATATTTTAGCACGAACCACTTACCTTCTCCCCTATATCTTGATCTTATTTTTCACAAATAAACATTAACGGTTGGAACTAAATACTTATTTAACGGACACTGTAGAATTTTGCTCTGATGATAGTAACACTAGTTGGCTGTAAGTTATATTAAATAAATTTACGTATTATTGTGCCCAATAACGTTGTTTTTTTTGTAATTGTTACTCTTAATATACCAGCGTAATGTGCCTTAAAAATAATTAAGATACAGTAGTTGTTATAGTTATATAATGTTTGGGTAGTTTATTCATAAACAGAATTAAACAAGATGCAATTTGTGTTAGAGTTTTATAATGTTTTGGTAGTTTACTTATAAACAGATTTATACCAGATGCAATTTTTGTTACAGTTATATAATGTTTGGGTAGTTTATTTATAAACAGATTTATATCAGATGCAATTTTTGTTACAGTTATATAATGCTTGGGGAGTTTATTTATAAACAGAATTATATCAGATGCAGTAGTTGTTACAGTTATATAATATTTGGGGAGTTTATTTATAAACAGAATTACATCAGATGCAGTAGTTGTTCCAGTTTTATAATGTTTTGGTAGTTTATTTATAAACAGAATTATATCAGGTGCAGTAGTTGTTCTAGTTATATAATGTTTGGGTAGTTTATTCATAAACAGAATTAAACAAGATGCAGTAGTTGTTCTAGTTATATAATGTTTGGGTAGTTTATTTATAAACAGAATCAAACAAGATGCAGTAGTTGTTCCAGTTATATAATGTTTGGGTAGTTTATTTATAAACAGAATTAAACAAGATGCAGTAGTTGTTCTAGTTATATAATATTTGGGTAGTCTATTTATAAACAGAATTAAACAAGATGCAGTAGCTGTTCTAGTTATATAATGTTTGGGTAGTTTACTTATAAACAGAATTAAACCAAGTGTAGTAGTTTTTCCAGGAATTCAAAAAGAGGGTAAGCATAGAATGTCACAGTTACAAATGAAATTACCCAACATCTAACTAGACTCTTTGAAATGTTATATAACTAAAGTCTAATAACGATAAATGTTCATCTCATTCTTAACAATAAGTTAGGAAATTTCACGATCTCTAATTGACTTCACTGATTAGGCTACGTACTTTTATGGTGCGAAAAATCATTTGAAACCAATTGTTTTGGCATTAGATACAAAGGATTATTAATGAGACGCGTCTGGTGTACCGAAAACGGATTAAAGAAGAAACGTTTGTTCTTATCCTAAGCCCTTAGCTTAATTCCTCTTTTAATAATGTACTTTTTCATTGTTATATTTATCAATAAATGCCTTTTTTTTACTAACACACCAGAGAAAATCACAAAATAAAGTTTAAAACACAAGGTTAAAAGAATTTATTTAAACCCAATGGTTAAAAACGTTTCCTCACAAACTAGCGTCTTCCTCAACGTCTGGCGTGAGATGAAGCACACACACACACACATATATATATACGGTCGTAACTGTGATATTCTGGTGGTATACTTGTACCTATATTCAAGTGATCTTTGTCTCATAGCACAGTTATCAGTTTCTAAATATATAGCAGATTTCAGACAGTGCAAAAGAATGGTAAAATATATATTTCATAAAAGTAAACAAATATTAAATCTGGTAATTCGTAGACGATTCTTAGCCATCTGATGGAAATAATCAGACTAATCTGTCTTTAATATAGAAAGATATTCGTACACCCTCAGCACAATGATTTAGTTTCATTATCGCTTAATATTGAGTGTAAGCTTTTACGACTTCGAGCTAGTAATAATTCATTATTATATAAAAAGCATTCTAAAATAAGTTGTCTGTAAAAAATCTGGTGAATCTTTTCCTAGTTTATATTTGGTTATAAACCTACTTGGTAGAGACAAAGTTCCACACCGATCAGCTGCTGTAATCATAAACTGTGGATCAAGACCGTATCCACCTTTTATCTCAACGAAATCACTGACTCCTCTCTTGGAACACTGAAAAAAAAACAAAAAAAAAAACAGTTGACACGATCTATCAGGAGGCGAGAAATGCTGGTACTTGTTTGACTGAGCAGGAAACTAACTATTGTGTTCAAAGATCTTATAAATTACTGACCATCACATTTATAATTTTGAGGTCATATTACAATGACCACTTAAAAAACTAATGTTGTGATTAAACATAAAATGTATTACTTCTATTAGTTCATGCATTGTTTGGATTGCAAACCAAAGGCAAACATTATAATTCACTGTAATAAAACGACGTCTTAAACGTTATTTGTTATCAACAAAAACATTTTCCCTACTAATATATTACTCTTACATCTAATCTTTAACAAATATCTTTCAGTATTTGATACAAATGTGCATAAAGGATGAACAACAGTGAATAGTAGTTGCACAACAATGTGCAGTGTGTAAGGGATAGATAGGAGTTTGTAACGGTTAGTCATCAGTGTGTTGACCCCTTCATTAGGGGTAACGCTAGGTAGAGTGTGTAACGGTTGGGTATCAGTGTGTTGACTTTTTCATTAGGTAGTAGTATGTAACGGCTAGGTAGAGTGTGTAAAGGATAGGTAGCAGTATGTAACGGCTAGATAGTAATGTGTAACGGTTGAGCATCAGTGTGTTGACCCTTCATTTGATAATAGTGTGTAACGGCTAGGTAGAGTGTGTAACGGCTAGATAGTAACGTGTAACGGCTGGGCATCAGTGTGTTGACTTTTTCATTGGGTAGAAGTGTGTAATTGCTAGATAGTAGTCTATAACGGCTAGATAGCAGTGTGTAACTGCTAGATAGTAGTCTGTAACGACTAGGTAGCAGTATTTAACGGCTAGATAGTAGTGTGTAACGGCTAGGTAGCAGTGTGTAACTGTTGGGCATCATTGCATTGACCCCTCCATTAGGTAGTAGTGTGTAACGGTTGGGCATCAGAGTGTTGATCCCTTCATTAGGTAGTAGTGTGTAACGGCTAGATAGCAGTGTGTAACTGCTAGATAGTAGTCTGTAACGGCTAGATAGCAGTGTGTAACGGCTAGATAGTAGTGTGTAACGGCTAGGTAGCAGTGTGTAACCGTAGGGCATCAGTGCATTGACCCCTCCATTAGGTAGTAGTGTGTAACGGTTGGGCATCAGAGTGTTGACCCCTTCATTAGGTAGTAGAGTGTAACGGCTAGATAGTAGTGTGTAACGGCTAGGTAGCAGTGTGTAATTGTTGGGCATCAGTGCATTGACCCCTTCATTCGGTAGTAGTGTGTAACGGCTAGATAGCAGTGTGTAACTGCTAGATAGTAGTCTTTAACGGCTAGATAGCAGTATTTAACGGCTAGATAGTAGTGTGTAACGGCTAGGTAGCAGTGTGTAATTGTTGGGCATCAGTGCATTGACCCCTTCATTCGGTAGTAGTGTGTAACGGCTAGATAGCAGTGTGTAACTGCTAGATAGTAGTCTGTAACGGCTAAGTAGCAGTGTGTAACGGCTAGATAGTAGTGTGTAACGGCTAGGTAGAGTGTGTAACGGTTAGGTAGCAGTGTGTGTAACAGCTAGGTAGAGTGTGTAACCGTAGGGTATCAGTGCGTTGACCCCTCCATTAAGTAGTAGTGTGTAACGGTTGGGCATCAGAGTGTTGACCCCTTCATTAGGTAGTAGTGTGTAACGGCTAGGTAGTAGTGTATAACGGCTAGATAGTGATGTGTAACGGTTGGGAATCAGTGTGTTGGTCCCTTCATTAGGTAGAAGCGTGTAACGGCTAGGTAGAGTGTGTAACGGCTAGGTAGCATTGTATAACGGCTAGATAGTAGTATGTAACGGTAGGTAGTAATGCGTAATGGCTAGGTTATAGCGTGTAACGATTGGGTAGCAGTGTGGGTAGTTGTGCGTGTGACAATAGTCACAGTTGTTACATACTGGACACAAGTATATGACTGTTGTATACAGCTTTCTTAAACTACTAAGCACAGCATTTTCTTATCGTAGCGATTTTCATACAACATCAATATGACTGAAATCAGGCAGTCTGTGTTTTTTTCTAATAAACAATTTAACTATGAAATACGAAGAAAAACGAATATTGGGATTTATGAATTATCACTGCATTTTATCTAATGCTACAACACGTACAATTCACAATGAGACAATAGTTTTCTTTTATAGAAAAAAACTATTTTACATTTACTTTATACCGTATAGAAACTTGTGACAAAATGTTTTGAAATATTGATACTAGAAATAAACGACCTTATAACACCAAAATGTTGTTATTATTCAATCAGACACTCAACGTTTCGCTTTACACCTTCTTCAGGAGCGTTCAGTAAAACAAAAACCGAAACTGAAAGTACTTTAACACCTGACTTGAAACCACCAATCTCCGTATAAATCCTCACTACGTACACTGACAGAAAATTTAAAGAAGCTCTTCTCATCGAAAAACTACGATCACAGATGAATAGGGACAATGGATGGTACCTATAATTTTATTTATCCTATCTTTTTGTTATTTCACTCTGTAATTTTGATCTAACCTTTGTTTACTACAGGTAACAGTTAATTATTTCATTAATACCATTCTTTCAACAATAACCTTTACTACTTAATATGTCTAAAGCACGTTATAGATTCGAATAGAATTTATTATTTAAACCATTTGAAGCTTTGTACTGTCGGTTTCGGTTTGTGTTTTAGTGAACGCTCCTGGTGTTATAAGAGCTTTTATTTCTAGTAGTAAATGTCTTCTATACATCTATATGCACTACAGAAATCATGTAATTAATGTTTAAGTCTGTCATGCCAATAGTTTGAATATGATGAAGTACGTTTTGATGTTTGAAAACAATAAATATAAAGTTGTTGAGTATACGAGAGATACAGAAAAGTTCGAAATGTGTGATTGAATTTCTATATAAATTAAGGAATGCAATTAATTGTTATTAATGAAAATATCCTTTATCCTGCAATCAAGTTGTGGTATGTGGGCATATCTTATAGATTGTACCTTCTATAATGATATATGAATTTTTCGGTTATTAGGTATCCATACTGTCATGACAGCAACACGTGGACGTCCAGTTAAGATTAATGTATTCCAGTTACTTTCCTTTCTTTATACCTTAGTAGTTTAAATATCGTCTGCACGTGGGATATTGCAACAATCCAGGTAGGATCGATTTTAAAGATTAACGTTGTGATAGCTGTAAGTTCGTTACTGATGATGTCGCTAAAGGCCACCAACAACCAATAATGTAGAAAGATAATGGTTATAAGGGGACGCTGTCAACTGGACAAGAGAACGAGTTTACCTGAAAGTTGAGTGCGTTTCCTTTATTAAGCTGAAGCACGTTCTAGTAGACAATCGGAGAAAAAACCCGTTTTCTTGAACACCACGAGTTTTAGTTTCTACAGTCCATCTTCCGAGAGAGAAAGCTACTGGGCTAAAGATCATCCTAATAGGATCAACTGTCTTGTTGTCTGCATTCATGTGAACCAATTACTTTTACTGGAATTGGAACGAAGGTAGCCATTATGTGAAGCAGTTACTTCTACTGGAATTGGAACGAAGGTAGCCATTATGTGAAGCAATTACTTCTATTGGAATTTGGACGAAGGTAACCATTTTGTGAAGCCATGACTTCTACTGGAATTGGAACGAAGGTAACCATTATCTGAAGCAATGACTTCTATTGGAATTTGGACGAAGGTAACCATTTTGTGAAGCCATGACTTCTACTGGAATTGGAACGAAGGTAACCATTTTGTGAAGCAATGACTTGTACTGGAATTGGGATGAAGGTAACCATTTTGTGAAGCAATGACTCCTAATGGAATTGTGATGAAGGACAACCATCGCGTGAAGCAATGACTACTACTGGAATTGGGATGCAGGAAAACCATCATCTGAGGCAACGACTCCTACTGGAATTGGTGTGTAGGACAACCATCATGTGAAAGAATGACCTCTACTGGAATTGGGGTAAAGAACGACCATCATGTGAAGCAATGATTCCTACTGGAATTGGGATGGAGAACAACCACAATGTGATGTAGTGACTGCTACTGGAATTGGAGTGAAGTACAACCATCATTTGAAGCAATTACTCCTAATGCTCAGATGTACTTTGTTAGTCTGTAGCTCGGACTTAAATCCAAGTTAACAGTTATGGGATGTTTTGGATCAGGAAATGGTATTACACTTGATGATGCTTTCAAAAATAAACTATCCAATAAGACGGTATCAGTAATTGGTGGGAAGTTTAATAATAATAATAAAAAAATCAGGCTATAATTTACGTTAAAGATCAAACCGTTTCTATTAAAAATGGCTCGAGTAGTGAACCCTGATACACCCTTACATCATTCTTTACTCGAGTTGTCTGTATAAAGAAGCATACTAATTTTTGGGCGATTAGTGCATGTTTAGTTGCATAAACTTCCAACACACTTTTATGTACCAGGATCATTGAAAATTTCAAATGTAATGTGCATAAATACACATATAATTTTATGAAATTTATCTTAAAACCAAAAATTATATTTAAGTCCATTTTGTTGCAGACAATAAATGCGGATTAGCCAGCTCGATAACAGGTGTATGTTGCAGACAATAAATGTCGGATTAGCCAGCTCGATAACAGGTGTATGTTGCAGACAATAAATGTCGGATTAGCCAGCTCGATAACAAGTGTATGTTGCAGACAATAAATGTCGGATTAGCCAGCTCGATAACAAGTGTTATTACAAAGACATATTCGACATCTTTAAATAATGTTTGAAGACGAAAGCTTATTTTATGTCTAAAAAATATAACTTGATTCTGAACAGATGTATTCCCCTCTTCTTCATTTTGTGCATAAGCAATGTTTGGTTGTTAAATATCTAGGCAAGCATTATTGTTTGCCTATTAAAATATCCATGTTTTGGCCCTGTTGTGATATTTCAGTCAAACCGTAGCGGACAGTTTTATGATTTTGTATCGTACTAAACGTTAACTACATAT